GGAAAGTCAGCTTCCTTCTCTGTAATAAAGTCATTCCTAACACAAATACATTTTTCTTACATTCGTGTCCCTTTCTATGATATTCTGTCAAAATGATTTTGGTCTTGATTCTTTTCTGTTGTCTCATCACTGTTCACAGAGCAAAAGATTCCGTTGCTTTACCATCACGTCAGAACTTTCCTGTGAAGACTTTTCCTTTTTCATCTTTTTTATGATTCTACTAGATTATCCTGTGTCCCCACAAGCTATACATTTATTTACTTTTTCTGTCAGTGAACAATATAACTTTTAAAAATTGAATTACAAATGAATATTTCTTAGTTGCATAAATCTTTTTCCATAAGTAAGGTGATCAGCTTAACTTTAATACTTAGCTCTCTGCAGATAATTCCCAACATACATTAAACCACAGGTCTCACCCACTGCATCTCCAGCGCTGTGCTGCCCATCTCCGTGTGCCCTGCCGTGCCTGCGTGCCTCTGCTGTGCTGCGTGGGCACTGCTGGGGCCTGCCCTGCCCAGATCCGTGTCCTGGCTCGTGCCCTTTTTTAGAGAAGAATTGCCCTTGGCAAAATGGGAAGCACCTTGCCAGGCACCTGCCACTCCTCCCACCAGACCATCTCTAGTACTGCCCAGTGATCAGGTACAGGAAACTGGCCTCCTCGCCTCAAGGTGGGGCCACCTCTGCCGTGCACTTAGGGCTTCTCCTCAGGCCGACGCTGACCTCCACTGGAACCGCATGCTTGCCCGGCTTTTTTCCCCTGCCCTCTCCTCTTTCCTTTAATACCTGTTTCTGAGCATTCTCCACTGAACCATCACTCAAACAAGAATCCCTGTCTCAGGCTCGGCTTAGAATCTGTCATAAAACGCATGTGAAAATTGATTTTATCAACTTCCTCTTAAACCTGGTTTTCTTTCTGTATTTCTGATCTTTAATAAATGAAATCTTCTGATCCTCATACTAGAAATCTGGGTCATCTTTGACTCCTGTTTGTGTTGTTCCTGTGTATCAGTGGTTCTGAACCTTCGGTGTCCGAATGTCTTCACACTCTTAAATTAATCACGGATATCAAATAACTTCTGTTGATGTCAGTATATCTATCACTGCTCACCATATTAGACACTGAAAATACTTTAAATGTATATTAATGTATTCAAAAATTACAGACCTACTACAGATAAGCATAAAACATAGTTTTATGAAAAACAAAAATTTCTAAACAAAAATTTTAGAAGAATAGATTTTTCTACATTTTTTCAAATTTCTTGAATAACTGCTTTAAAAGAAGTTGGCTGTGTTCTTGTATTTGATTCTGCTTCCAGTCTGTCACAATATTCAAGTCATGTAGCCTCTGGTAAAACACAGTTCTCACGAGAAAGTCAAAGTGCAAAGGGCAAACACCATCTTAGCATCATTATGCAATAGTCTTGATGTCGCCCATCCTGTGAAAGGCCTGAGTCCCTGGACCGCGCCTTGAGAGGCCCTGCCCTGCGTCGGCTGACTTTGCCATGGAACGTTTGGCCGTGTGGTTGACCTCATGAACTTCACACCCTCGCAACCCAGTTTAATCCACTTACATTCTCGGACCCTCAGCTTCCTCATCCTTAAAATGAAATAATCGTCAAAGCCCACTGTACTCTTGGAACTAAGGAACAAATAAAATATTCACATAGTCTTGGATACTCAGAAATGGCATGATTTGTAGTTTGAGAGCATAGACTGAGTTTGAATCCTGCCTCTACCACTTAGATGCTGTGTAGTCTTGAGGAAGTTACTTAACCCTGTTCCATGTTTTAGTTTACATGTAAGTATGACAATAAGTTTGAAGGTTATATGAGTTAATATGTACAAAGAAGTATTCAAGAGAGTGCCTGGCACATAATCAATACTGTGTAAGCATTAATGTTGTTATTACTATTAGGAATAGTAATAAGTGCCCTATAAATGTTAGCCTAGTATTAGTCATTACTGTTTTTTCCTTTCTGAAGCCTAATTCATCCTTTCCTGCTTGATTTAATTGCACTATTAATCAACCTGCCCGTTTCCACTGTTCCATCTTGCTTGTTAGCTCTCCATTCTAAAACATGCATCTTGTCACTTCATTGAGCAGATATATCTGTGAGATTCTTGATGCCTTCAAGAAAAATCACCAACACTTGAGAATAGAATCTAGGCCCTTCTTCAGTATGACTCGGAGCCATACGTCTCTTCTCCCTCTGGTGCTTTCTCTAATTTATACCCACTCCGAACACACAACCATTTTTGGTCCGTGTCTGTCCCCTCTCAAGACTACCTTTTCCGTCTTTGTTTCATGAAGCCTCCATTAGTTCCAAAAGCAGCTCACATTTCCTCTATGAAGCCACAGAGGCTTCTGAAAGAAATCTTTCATGCTATACTGTAGGCATAAACTGGGAGTTTACTGGGCAACACTGGATATAGTCACTGACTTAGAACAAGAAATTTTTTGAAAAACCACTCAGTACTAATACTGTTTTTTAATCAGATCTTTAAAAAAAATCAGAAGATCCTAAGCAGAGTTCTGTCTTATCATGCCACTCAACTTGCCTTGGACTTAAAAGAACTCATACTGAGGAGTCATTGATAACGTGATTCTTAGCATGCACCAGCGAGAATGACAGTAATTGAGACTCCTGTGTATTAATGCATAAGGCTTTAGAGCATTGTTAATCAAGACTTAATTTTCTTTCCCCAGGAGAAAATTCTGATGTGTCAGGTCTTTGTCACAGATGTTATCAAAGATTCTTCATAAACAGACTGTGTTAATCAGTTGAAGGTTCTGTTCAAGGCTTTCACCATGATTGGTATTAAAATGGATGGACAGACAGCAAATCTGAACTTGCTCTTGAAAGACTGAAAGCAATGGCTGAAAAATTAATCAGGACAGAGTTCTTCCCTCATAACTCCCACAGGCTGATGACTAAGTCGCGCCCGGCTCTTGGCCAGCACAGGTGGACTTTGTTCTCATCCACTTTCCCCACCGGAGGCTCTCCTTCCTCCTGCCTTCCATGCCAGTCCACACAGTGCTTGCTTGTAACCTGGGAAGTCTAAACTTTTCATCGGAGATACAGAACTTTATTTTTGAATTGAAGACTATTTCAGTTGGTGATAGAACTTCATACTTGAAGACTTCTGCAATGTTAATGGCAACTTGTAGACATATCTAGACAGTAATAACATACATCTCACATGTTAGGGGGAAAATCCACATAAAAACAATAGCATTGATCACTTTGCAATAGCAGTGAGTAGCTGGAGCTGTCATTAGAGGCAAGATTTTATTTTTAAACTTTGTATTTACTTTTGAAAAGATGTCTTACAGAGCAAGGCTTAGCTTGCTGTTTCACTTACTTTTAAACATTTATTGGGCTCCCAGTGTAACTAGATGTGGTGTTAATGAAAGGGATACAGAAACAATGGACCTTAATCTTTAACAAGATGGCCAGTTTATTGTGTCCCTTCACTGTTAGATTCTAAGTTCTGTGATAGTGGAAATACAGAGTGTTTTTGATTATCCAAAATACATTTATGTAAATTAATCCAATTTTTAAAATACATATTTAAAAATTATGTATAACACTTAAGAATGTCAACAGTGTAAAAATGTATGATGTCACTTTGATGGATCACTGGCTGATGATAGGTGACAGCAATTATTGAGTTGTCTTCTCTAATCATTTGTTTAAATTTTATTTTCTTCCTTTTATAGCAGTGCCATCCAAGAAGACTTTTTGTGATAAAGGAAATGCTCCATATATGTGCTAATACAGTGACCACTTCTCACTTGTGGCTCCTGAGTATTTCAAATGTGGCTAGTACGACTGAGGAACTGAATTTTTAGTTTTATTTAATTTTAGTGTATTTTAACTTAAATAGCTACATGTGACTAATGGCTACTGTACGAAATAGTGTGGTATGTAGTGTTGTTAACTCCCACGAGGCAGTGGTAAAAGTTGGATTATACAGACTGTCTTGTTATTTTATTCATGCAAGAACCAATTTTCACAACTTTACTTAAAAGTACCTGTAATCAAGGCATTTGGTCTTTCTTTAAATTATAATTAAAAATTTTTTAAAGTTCTATTAGAAGGTGAATAGGCTCACTTTTTCCTTCTTTTTGCAACATAAAGATGCTACAAGATCCATTATAATGAATGAATCATTGTCACTAATCCATTTTCATTTTGATCATAAATTTCAGTCACTTACCTTTATATGTATTGAATGGGCAAGGGGACTATTTAGGCTGTTGAGAGAAACAGCAGGGGGGTAGAGAGAAGCCAGTGAGAGATGATTTTCTCAGGTCATGCATGGTAATCAATAGAGTGAGTGGAATCTATGTTCAGAATTTAAGTTCTCACCAGTTTGGGGGAGGAGCATCTGGTGGAGCATAAGCTGCCATAAGACACTTTCAGATTTATGATTATTTTGCAAATAGGATAAATTAAGACAGATGCCAGGTGAGACTTACGCCAGAGAGCATCCAATCAGAATTTTATTTGCAGGGATGACAAGAATGTGACTATAGACCTGTTAATTAATTTAAAAAGAAATTAATCATAATGTAAATGGCAAAAATCATGCAGCAATTTTTATATAAGAATGTTTTCTAATCAGGATGAAAATATAATTGTTGGGCTTTTTCAGATATGCATGTTGTTTTTAATACTCATACTTCAATCTAATGATATGAAATCTTTGTTTACAGGGGATTTGTTCTTACTTTTAGGGAAAGCAATTGAGCAATTTTTAGAGGCCATGGGACCCTTGGTCAGGAAGTCCTAGCAGGGGCTTGTTGGTAGAGTATTTCTACTGACTTGAAGTCTGGCTGTTACTTTTAAGGGTCTGTTTGACTCCTCCTGGACTTTGAGCCCCTTGATGTTGAACTGTCCTACACTTCCTCTGTGGCTCTTGTGCCTCTTTAGAGAGACTGGTTCTCTCTTTCTGTTGATACCCTAAAAAATGTTTGTATTTCTATCTAGGGCGAGCCTGTCACCTTCTGTGAGGAGAGTTTTGTAAAGCACCGCTCCAGTCTGATGAGACAGTTCTTGGAGACTGCAGTCAACCTCCAGCTTTTTAAGCAGGTGAGAGTGGACCCCGCCTGCCTTTTGGAACTTGGCTTCCAGACATGTGACAAAAATGTGTTACTGGTTTTCTCATTCCATCTGTGTGATTACAAAAAGTCCCTTAATTTGGGCTTGAGTTTCTGTTTATCTAATTTAAATTAAGTTCTTAACACTTGATAATCTTAAGTGTCACGTTAGTTATATGAATTCAGCATTTAATGAGGATCTACAGTGTGCTATAAACTGTGCTCAGGGCCAGAATATAAACATGAGTAAAAACTCAGTAATACCCTTAAGAAGCTGACAGTCTAATAGAAGTACCTTTGGACTGTTGGGAAGGAAAAACTATATAACTCAAAATAACCTTCCAATTTGGTAAGTAATTTAATTTGATGGTGACAAATCTAATACCTTTATCTATATGCTGAGTATTCTGAGGAAGTTTTAAAGAATAATCAGAGTTAGAAAATACCCTGTAGGGGATATAACTGCCTTCCAATATGTGAAGGTTTACCTTAAAGAAAGGGTTAGATGTACCCAGTACACAGCCTTAAGGAACAGAACCAGGTTTGGTGTGTTTCAAGATCAGAGATGTCTTGTGAATTTCCAAAACTGAAGTGGGTTACCTTTGGAGCTCTTTGTTCCTGGAGAGCGCCAGTATAGACTGAATTTCTTCTTAAGGTTGTGACGAGGCTCAAGTGATAGTCTTTATAAGTGCTGAAGTATATAGCAGTTCAGTCCCAACCGAGTCTTCCAGTGCATGCGTGTTGAGTTAGGTATTAGCACTCTTTGTATTTGTATACACTCAGTTGTATCCCATTGTCAAAACTGAGTTGTGAAGATCAAATTATATAGGGGTCAAGGATGGAATGGGTAGAATATCTAATTTATTAATTCCCTTTAACCATAAGACTCTGTAAGTAGAGTCTTATTGTTAGATAAAGTTCAGATGCAGTAAAATATTTTAATGTAGTTACAAAAAGCATGTATTTTTCAGGAGTCAGGTGGAGTTGGGTTTAGTCTTGGCTTCGTCACTTAAAGCTGTTTGTTCATTTGTTCATAATTGTTTCTTTTGCTTTAAAACAGAAGTATCCCCATCTACCTCATGGGGTCACAGCAGAGTTTACGTGAATTAATGTGTGTATATGTCAGCATTATGTGTTGTAGTGTAGAGGCTCAGGAAATTGTAGTGTCTGCCTCATTCTTAGGGGAATTACATTAACAACATACAAGTCTGTGCAGGATTTTTTAAAGCATAACTTGGTCAAAAAGACTAAATGTAAAATATGAAAATTAGTCCGTCAAACTAGAATCCCACATACGGACAACTTGGATAGTCTTACATGAGCCACCTGGCCATATTCTTGAACTTGTTATCATGTTATGACCCTTAAGCAAGTGGTCCTTGAAGAGAGCCCTGAAAAGAATTAAAGATTCCTGTTAAAGAGTTTCTGTTGTTGAATAAAACCTTCCCTCTTTATTCGATGTTTATATGCAGCTCTAAAACATCAAAGAGGGAAGGTTTTTTAAATAATGAGAAAAGATAGGTTACCTTAAAAGGAGCCATGTATTGACAGCTAACTTCACATGAGCAATAATGGAATCGAGAGGGTACTGCCAGATAGTCTGTGTGTTGAGGAGAAATACCTAGAGTTCTGTGCCAGTGAAAGTACCTCTTAATTAAAACAGCAACATGGGAACATTGCCCATGAAACGCTGAGTTTGCCCTTGTGTTCGCTTTATCAGTGAGTCTGCTTGGTGAGGTTATTCAATCAAAAGCGAATCTAGTTGTTTTTACATATGTAATTAAAACTCCTACTAATCATTTGAGTTTTAATAAGGAAGATCATCCCAGATTACCCTAGATAATCTGGGTAGGCCTGTCTGAGTCAGTTGGAGGTCCTTGTAAAAACGACTGAGGTTTCCCTGGGGAAGAGAAGAAATTCCACGTGCGGTCACCAGCCTCAGCACCTGCCTGTGGGTGCGGCCTGCTCAACTTTTCTTCCTGACCACCAGTCAGTCCTATGGATTTCAGACTGGCCTAGCCAGCCCCCATAATCATGTAAGCCAGTTCCTTGTAATAAATTTATAAATGTGTGTCTTTTTTTTAAAACTTTAAGTATCATTGATATACAATCTTATGAAGGTTTCCCATGAACAACATTGTGGCTTCATTGTTCACCCATATTATCAAGTCCTCAGCCCCCCTTGCAGTCACTGTCCCTCAGCGTAGTGAGATGCTATAGAGTCACTACTTGTCTTCTCCAGGCTGTACCGCCTTCCCCTGACCTACCTATATTGTGTGTGCTAATTATAGTGCCCCTTAATCCCCTTCTCCCTCCCTCCCCACCCCTCCCCTTTGGTAACCACTAGTCCCTTGTTGGAGTCTGTGGGTCTGCTGCTATTCTGTTCCTTCAGTTTTTGCTTTGTTGTTATACTCTTCAAATGAGTGAAGTCATTTGGTACTTGTCTTTCTCCGCCTCACTTATTTCACTGAGCATAATACCCTCTAGCTCCATCCATGTTGTTGCAAATGGTAGGATTTGTTTATTTCTTATGGCTGAATATTATTCCATGTGTATATGTACCACATCTTCTTTATCCATCCATCTACTGATGGACACTTAGGTTGCTTCCATATCTTGGATGTTATAAATAGTGCTGCAATAAACATAGGGGTGCGTATGTCTTTTTGAATCAGGGATCTTGTTTTCTTTGGGTAAATTCCTGAAAGTGGAATTACTGAGTCAAATGCTATTTCTATTTTTAGTTTCTTAAGGAACCTCCATTTTGCTTTCCACAACAATTAACTAATCTACATTCCCACCAACAGTGTAGGAAGGTTCCCCCTTCTCCATATTCTTGCCAGCATTTGTTGTTCCTTGTCTTTTGGATTGTGGCCATCCTAACTGGTGTGAGGTGATACCTCATTGAGGTTTTAATTTGCATTTCCCTGGTGATTAGCAATGTGGAGCATCTTTTCACGTGCCTTTTGGCCATCTGAATTTCTTCTTTGGAGAAGTGTCTGTTCAGATCCTCTACCCATTTTTTGATCAGGTTATTTGTTTCTTGGGTATTGAGCCTTGTGAGCTTTTTGTATATTTTGGATGTTAATCCCTTATTGGATAAGTCGTTACAAATATATTCTCCCATACTGTAAGATGCCTTTTTGTTCTCAGACACATCTCACAGATGGTGTCTTGCTGTACAGAGCTTTTTAGTTTGATGTTGTTTCATTTGTTTATTTTCACTTTTGTTTCCCTTGCCTGAGGAGGTGTGTTCAGAAAAAGTTGCTCATGTTCATATTCAAGAGATTTTTGCCTATGTTTTCTTCTATGAGTTTTATGGTTTCATGACTTACATTCAGGTCTTTGATCCATTTTCAGTCTACTTTTGTGTACAGAGTTAGACAGTAATCCAGTTTCATTCTTTTACATGTAGCTGTCCAGTTTTGCCAACACCAGTTGTTGAAGAGGCTGTCATTTCCCCATTGTGTATTCATGGTTCCTTTATAGTATATTAATTGGCAATCTATGCGTGGGTGTATATATGGGCTCTCTATTCTGTTCCATTGATCCTTGGGTCTGTTTCTTTGTCAATACCAAATTGTTTTGATAAATGTAGCCTTTGTAGTACAGTTTGAACTCAGGGAGCATAATCCTCCCAGCTTTGTTCTTCTCAGGATTGCTTTGGCTATTTGGGGTCTTTTGTGGTTTCATATGAATTTCAGAAATATTGTTTTAGTTTGTTGAAGAATGCTGTTGATATTTTGATAGGGATTACATTGAATCTGTGGATTGCTTTAGGCAGGATGCCGTTTGACAATATTAACTCTTCCTATCCATTGTATTTCCATTTATTGGTGTCTTCTTTAATTTATCTCATGAGTGTCTTTACTTTTCAGGGTATAGGTCTTTCACCTCCTTTGTTAGTTTTATTCCTGGGTATTTTATTCTTTTGGATGCAATTGTAAATGGAGTTGTTTTCCTGATTTTTCTTTCTGCTAGTTCGTTGTTAGTGTATAGGAACACAACAGATTTCTGTGTATTAATTTTGTATCCTGCAACTTTGCTGAATTCAGTTATTAGTTCTAATAGTTTTGGTGATTCTTTAGGGTTTTTATGTACAATTTCATGTCATCTGCAAGTAGTGACAGTTTAACTTCTTCCTTACTAATCTGGATACCTTTTGTTTCTTTGTGTTGTCTGATTGCTGTGGCTAGAACCTCAGGTACTATGTTGAATAAAAGTGGTGAGAATGGGCATCCCTGTCTTGTTCCTGATCTTAGAGGAAAAGCTTTCAGCTTCTCACTGTTCAATATGATGTTGGCCGTGGGTTTGTCATATATGGCCTTTATTATGTTGAGGTACTTGCCCTCTATACCCATTTTAAATGAGAGTTTTTATCATGAATGGATGTTGAGTTTTGTCAAATGCCTTTTCAACATCTATTGAGATGATCATGTGATTTTTGTCCTTTTTGTGATGTGGTATATGGTATTGATTTATCTTCGAATATTGTACCGTCCTTGCATCCCTTGAATATATCCCACTTGATCATAGTGGATGATCTTTTTGCTGTTTTTTTTTGAATTCGGTTTGCAAATATTTTGTTGAGTATTTTTGCATCTATGTTCATCAGGGGTATTGGTCTGTAATTTTCTTTTTTGTGGTGTCTTTGCTGGTTTGATATTAGAGTGAGGCTGGGCTCATAGAATGAGTTTGGAAGTATTCCTTCCTTTTCTACTTTTTGGAAACTTTAAGGAGGATGGGTATTAGCTCTTCTTTAATGTTTGATAAAATTCAGCAGTGAAGCCATCTGGTACAGGGATATTGTTCTTAGGTAGTTTTTTGATTACCAGTTCAATTTCATTGCTGGTAATTGGTCTGTTCAGATTTTCTGTTTCTTCCTGAGTCAGTCTTGGAAGGTTGTATTTTTCTAGAAAGTTGTCTGTTTCTTCTAGGTTATCCAATTTGTTGGCATGTAATTTTTTCATAGTATTTTTTAATAATGCTTTG